ATTGCCGTGGCACGTCCAATTCCAAATGTTTGTCCTATCGTTCGATAAGAGTTGCCAGTAGCTAGCCGCCATAAAGCAATCGTGTACTCGCTTCTCTACTGAGATTGCTTGACGAAAAATTGTGTCGTGCTTGCTCATATCTGGACCAACAATACCACAAATGAAATTAAACGTGTTTCTGTTAATTCTGAAGTGTTCCCGCCAAATATGATCTTGATTCTGGCCRTTTAGAAGTTGTTCAAACCAGAATTGAGGACGAGGGTAGACCCATGCTCTTGGTCGTCTGCGATTACGAACTCCTCTATTTTGAAGTTGATTCGTCAGAAGAATTGATAATTGACGTCTACTTCATCTTTGCAGAGCAGCTAACCTCAGATTGCGAAGAAATCGATTTCGCCGTTTCTCAACTGAATAAGAGAGATTGAGAATGAGAATATAAAACTAAGTTTCGTAAACTAACTTCGAGCCGAGATATGAATTATGAGATAGTCCACGCCTCAATTATACAGAGTTTTATTACTTTATACTTTACCATATATATATATATATATATTTTTTAAAATATTTCAAAATGCTTTGGCTCCTTTTTTACGGTTACGGTTAATCTTCTTTTCTTAGTTTAACTCTTTAACGTTTTTGAATTTGGCAATAACAAATTATTTCAGCTGTATTATACGAGCGTACCGTGCCATGATCATGAAACGTGTATCATGGGATTCCTGTGTATGAAGGAGTAACGGTAAGCGAATACAGTGAGCCCAGAACGTTCTTTCTCTTGCTCAGTAATGCTTGCCACYAGTGTCCGCGATTGGTTTGACACACTCTGGGGCATTCGGCTTGTCTGCGCACATTATATGCATCACCATGCTATTGATGTAAAGGATTGACAAGAAAATTTAGAGAAAAGCAAAAATTAAAAAGAAAAGCGAAAAAAGTCGATGTAGAATAAATGTGAATGATAGGGTACTGACTTAAAAACATTCTCGTTGTTCCCAGAGCCTGCGCTATTGCCCGCCAGCGGAAGGCAACGCGCGAAAGGCAATAGTGCAGGCCCTGGGAACGAGAATGCGCCAGTACAGTAACCGAGAACCGTCAAAATGGTTTTCCATAGTTTTCAAGCCAATCATCATACACTTAGGTTATGTTAGAATACGAACTATTCTAAAGCAGGTATTTGTAATATAAATACATGTGATTGGTTTATACCAACGTAGGTACTAGATAGCTCGKGCTTCCTGTGGACCAGGCGGTCATATTTATTACGCTTGGTCGCGTTTTACTTACGCGGGRTTGACGACACAAACAGGAGCTTTACCCAACTCCTTTTTGAGCTCATTTTCAAGCTTCTGTATTGTTCCTGTACCACATGTTTCGCTGGAATTAAAATATAGTTATGCGTCATAAGCTTACTCTCTGGCTGTCATCTCGTATTGATGGTTTTCACGGCGGCCATGTTGGAGGAACTTAACAAAAGAATTGTCAATGAATTCTTTTGTTATATCCTCCAACATGGCCRCYGTGTCTTTTGTTATTTAATTCTMTTGGGAATGGTTGAAAAMCATCAATAAGTGGGAACCATAACCGTACCGTATAACCGTACGTATCTAACCTGAGGTGTGATTGATGAATAATATAGATACTGACCATTTTAATGTTAAGGCATAGTTACGCGTAGTAAGAAAATAAAGTGAAAAACTGCCAAACATAGACACTATTTTTTTTAAGTCAGGTTGTAGTGGTTCTTATATATTTGGTGAGAATTCAGGCTGAATAGGTTCTTAACTGGTTTTTACGTTTCCCACTCATTTCGAAAACTGCTCTAAGGATATTTCAGAAAGAACTGTTATGGTGTCCAGTTTAAGCAATTAGCATCACTACTTCTTTTTATACAAATTTATCACAGGATACTTACTGCACGGCTTTCTGAGGCTCGTTAGCAACGATCAATCGGAATTCAGTTACTTYATCCTTGGGGATATTTGGAAGCTCGTGCAAGTAGAAAAACCTGCATGAAAAAATTTTTACAGTTATTTTTTTAAAGTTATTCGGGTCGTTATTTTCTCGGTGCGCTTGCAAGACGAGTAGGACACGTGACCCGTGAGTAGTATAAGTTTTTTTATATAACATACGTCTCGTCGTGGTATGCGACATTTGGTGGTACCGTACCAACAGCGCCATTGACGAGGTGATGGACGATGCCCTTCGCTCTTTTTGCAAACTGTTGGCAAACAAAATTACATTAGTTTTTTTTGGCAATAAATCGGGTTTGGATCATCGTTTTACGATTCCCTAATGAACTGCTTACCCAGGCAGAAGCAGCCCCCCAGTAGACCTCAAAAGGTTCCTTTTTAGGGCTACACACAGGGCAGGCTTTAAAGTTGATACCATCAGGGTTTGGATYCGGGGTACCAGGGACCTCTCCACACCAGGCCAAATCTGTCGTAAGATACCTAAAAAGGAAATAAATAAAAATGTAATCATAATAAAGAAACGTTCATCATAAGAGGTGTTCCTGTGACCACAACCGCCATATTAGATGAAAGATATGAATACTTTGGACGCTAAATAAGGTAGAAACTGGACAGACCTGAGTTGCGTTAAAGTTTACCTTCTCTCGGCTTTCTCCCCACTGGAAAAAAATTGTTCACTATATTGACAAAAGGATTGATGGCTCACTCAGGTCTGTTGTGAGGAGCGTAGAAAAACGAGAAATATAATTAGGATACTTTATACAGAACGACAGTTTATAAACCACCTTCAACAGAAAGAAAGAACAAATGCAAATAAAGAAAAAGAAAAAGAGAGAAATAAAGAAACGAAATAAAGTTATTGAGATAAAAAGGGAGAAGCAAAGGACACAGAAAGACAGAAAGAAAGAAAAAAGAAAAAAGAAGGAAGGAAGAAAGGAACGAAATAAAAAACGAAAGAACGAAACGAAACGAATCGTAAGTCACATCATGCATGAGGAGACTGGAACAAATTCCTGCATAAATTATCCATGAAATCCCTTCGAAGATACAAAATGGCGGACACACAAGGATCGTGTGGTTTCATATCTCGAGCAATCATTTGGTGATTACAACTCATGGACCTGAACTTATGTTTTACAATGTACCAACAGCATTTCAGCTTCACATGAGTATTATTGGATYATTTATAGAACTTCTTAATTTGATTTAATTGGGACCTATTGGTTTGTTTATACTCGCCGACTTCTCGTTGCCAAGWAAAACAATATCATCTATACACAAAAAACCTGAAGTTTTCTACAAATTCTTCATGCCTTTGCAGTTCGTATTGCTAATAGAATGTTTCTTGTCTCAAACCTATCAAGATCTTCAAGTTCTAGGAGTYCAGACTTTATACGACTTTTTTTAGAAAGTTGGATCTAACGAGAAAATCTTAGACAGTAAATATGTCATTACGCACTCGTATTAATGGCTTTACAGCCTGGATAAACTTACGCCTGGCATCTTCTGGCCATTTTATGCATAATGTACTGACCGACTTACTAAAGGGGTATAATATGAAAGTTTTATTGGAAAGCATGACCGGAAGACCGTTTGAAAAGCTACAAAGTTTTGAGGGACTCACTCAACAACAGAAGACAACTAGAGTTGAGTGGATTGTTAAGGAGCTCAAAGCTACACAGATCATACCAAAGAACACGTTTGTTGATTCAAGAATGTTTGCAATGAGGTCAGCTGAGCAGGTATTTGATCTTCTTTGGTGTCTAGTGTGCCATGATATCTGGTACGTATGGGAAAGATCAGAATTTCTCCAGAAAGAAAGTGGGGCAATTCTTGTATCTAAGCCTTTTTCATGGACGCCCCCACYCCCTCCCCCTAAGACACCAACTCATAARATAGAAAAGGACATKTTGCTTGGTTTTGGATCAAAATCTCTGAGACGGACTCCAGTTGAAACTCCAGAACCTTCACCAAGTCCAACGATAACTGAAAGATCTGATGACATGATAAAGCGAAGAAGGTCTAAAAATTTCCCTTCACCAGAGTATTGCATCCTTGACATGGTTAATGCTCACCTAAGGTTGAGCAGAGAGGGCCGAAAACTGACCAGGGGGATCATGAGCTTGGATGATCTTACTGATAGCCGTGTTTTGTGTGCTCTCGTTAATACATTCGTACCAGAGACATTCACGACTGAGATTCTCTTGAATGACAGATGGACCATCAACCTTGCACTTCAGACTGCCAATGCAATGTTTAAGTCATCAAATCCATTTGACTCACAGGATCTTGTGGAGGGAGATGTGATGTCAGTCTGTGCTTAYTTTGCATTTTTCTTCATGAGTGGGTATAAGTTTCGGCAGTCAAAAGCCATGTTGAAGCGTCTTGATGAGTTGAATGTCTTGAAAATTGGTGTGAAAGATGAGATTGAACAGTTCCCAGAATTTGTCACCAACATGAAGGATTTGAAAAGRAAGAAAGAACTGGAAAACTTGATTGTGGATTATGACGAGGAGATAGAGATGATTGAACAGAATTATGATGTCACAAAGTGYGCAGCTTGGATCAAGGAAGTAGCTGAAATACAAAATAAGGTGAGTCATCCATTTTCAAATTCTCTGTTTTTCATTGTTTGATTAGCCTTGATTTTGTGTAAAATGTTCATGCTTTCCAGCGAAGGTCCAGGGAATTTCAAAGTGTTTGTATCGTTGCGTTTTACCTGGGCCTTAAACAGACATATCTTATATTTTCTTAATTAACATAAGGAGTTGAATTTCAATTGGGGCTATCGCCCTGTTTTCTTCTCCGGCCGCTCTTAGCTTTGTATGTTGTGTATTTAATTGTATTATGTTTGTGGCAAATTCCAATAAACTAAACTAAACTAAACTAAACTGAAGTTGTGTATTATTTACTTTACCATTGCAATGATTTGTGAATATCAAGGAAAAGGGTCTATAAGAGTATAAGTTGGGGGTGTGAAAATTAGCAATTAGTGGATATTAGTGATAAATATGTGGGCTGGGACTACATTTCTCCTATAGTACCTCTATGGGCTCAATCAATGTAAACAGATGTTTAAGACATAATGATAGATTTATACTGACTTTGCATTCAGGAAAAATGTCTTATAGGAGGAGGGGGTAGATGTTTATAGTTTGGCCATCCTAGTTCGTTCTCTCTAGAATGATTACAAATCATATATTACAAATTCCCTACT